GATCAGTCAGTCCTGAGAGAATGAAATAAGTTGCCACGGAGCGATTTCCCTCTTCCATCTCCTCTGAGCAGAGATCAGGCAGCAGGTCGGCAGTGGGATGGCTCAGGGAACCTTTTCCTTTATTGTAATGAAAGAAGTGAAGAAAAAAGGAGGTCAGTTTCTTAATAGGAAGCAGTACAAGATCAGGGAAGGGCTCAGTCCACGTAGCAGATGTTCATTGCTGCTCATTCCACTTGATTGATCAATTTCACGCACTGCACCCATACAAGGACATGGTGGTTAATCATCACAGAAAGTCTTCGGTTTACTAAACCGAGCAGCAAACAGCAACTTGTGACTCTGCTGAGGGAGAATCATGGTAAAGATCATCTCCATGTGATGGGATTTTTCCTTATCTCAAGAAGGGGTGAGAGTAAATGAGTGTCGGTCTTTCCACCCTCTTTGGGCAAGGGGAGCTCTGCGGCTCTACCTGTCGGTTTCGTGTGCTGTGCTAATGAATTTCTTGGGTATCTGATAATCACATTTACATTTGTCTGTATCAAACCCCTAAAGCTTAGTGGAACACACCAGCTTCTCTGACTACATCATCGCCTATTTTTTTCACCCAAAAGTGTCCTTACTTAGCTCAGGAGGTAGGAGCCGGATCTCTTAGTGCTGGAGGATTTCAACTCAGTGCATGTCAATCACCATGGTGTTTGTAAAGGCATGTGACTCTGATTCAGGACAACAACCCGTACCTGCTAACAGCAGAGAGAAATGGGTTGGCGCGTCTCCATCCACCAAGACTGACACTTTGTTGCAATTGGGAAGTTTTATACTGAGCTCTGTGATCTACGGGACGGTATCTCGGGAGCCACTGAGCTCAAAGAGACACAACAACAAATTAATGAGCTCAGGGAATATAAGCCATGGAGCTGATACCTTGGGGAATAATTTGGCGCCTTCTTTTCTCCTACGTTAGTTAGTGATGCAATTTCTATCAGAGTTGCCTGAGGGATATTTCATTCTGCTCTTGTCACTGCAATCTGGGTCCTGTGTGGAGCTGACCCAGAAAGTGTGTGTTTGTGTAGACCAACATCTTCCAGCTGAACATTTACCATTTCAGCTCAGAAACAAAATACACAGGTACCACTTCCCACCCTTCTCTGCCATGCCATTTGCTTTAGGATGGAAAATATTTCCATTATAACCCAGTTGGAATGAAAACCAGTTCTCAATCCATTAAAGACCTTCCCTTTTACCCCATGGCAATGTAATGTACACAACAGTCTTTGGTGAGGGACGTTGTCAAAAGCTTTCTGAATTCTAAGTATATTATATCTACTGGATCCCCCTTGTCCACATGTTTGTTAACGCCTTTAAAGAACTGTAAAATATTAGTAAGACATGATTTCCCTTTACAGAAACCATGCTGACTTTTGTCCAACAAATTATGTTCTTCTACATGCCTGACAATTTTATTCTTTACTATAGTTTCAACTAATTTGCCTGGTACTGAAGTAGGACTTACCAGTTTGTAATTGCCAGGATCGCCTCTAGAGCCCTTTTAAAATATTGTGATGCGGTGGATAGGACAATTTTATTCTTTACTATAGTTTCAACTAATTTGCCTGGTACTGAAGTAGGACTTACCAGTTTGTAATTGCCAGGATCGCCTCTAGAGCCCTTTTAAAATATTGTGATGCGGTGGATAGGCCCGAAGCCCCCTGCTGGAGGTTTGTGGCCCTGCCACACTCTGCCTCAGGGAAAAGAATAGAGAACTGGTCCTTCAAGCAAACTACAGTGTCTGCTTCTGCTACAGCCAATAAGGGCCCAACAAGCTGATATGGAGAAGCTGCTGGGATAATGCCTGGCAGACCCAAGGACTGAGTGGGAAGATAGTGATACTATGGACAGCTCCGTGTGCAGGCTGGTTTGCAAACTCATCTGAATCCCAGGTCTGGTGGCTGAAGACCAGCCATGATGGGCTGTGGCAAATTGCAGAACCCTGGACAGGGTTCAGGGAGGACTTCATCTCAAAGTCCTGATAGGGCACGGCTACACAGCAGGACTAATCTCAAATTAAGCTACGTGACTTGAGCTATGATAATGGTGTAGTTAGTTTAAGTTGAAATAGCTTAATCTGACTTTTGGTGCTGTCTACACAGCAGTTATTTTGAGAGAGAGCACTGTTCCCCCAACTTCCCTTACGCTCATACAATGAGGGTTATAGGAGTCATTGTAAGCAGTCCTCCAGCTTGACATTATTTCAACAGGAAGTCAAAATAGCTGCTTGTTGTGTAGACGTAGCCAAACAGGTCAAGGACAATTTGGCTTCTTCCCAGGAGACTGAGAAGAAAGGGCATCTCGGCTATGTCCACTCTCAGAGCCAATCAGAGAGGAGATTGTGGACACACATCCGTGGCCACAAGGGGGAACTCGAGAGGCACTTTAGAGACTCACAAAAATACATAATAACATAGCCTTTTGTGAGCAAAACCAACTTCATCACATGGGGTATGTCTAGAGAGACTTTGTCGACCGATACTGTCGAAAACACTTCTATCATCAAAGAGCGTCTAGACTACATCCAATTCTGTTGTCAAAGCAAGCCGCTTTGTTGACATGAGAGTATAGTCGCAAAGGACGGTGTAGCTACAATAATGCCTTCTGTCAACAGAACTCTGTGAACAAAAGGCATTATTCATCGTAGAAAGATGTTTACCGCCATCGAAAAAATGTAATGTAGACGCAGGTAAAGTTCTGTCTACAAGGGTGTGTCTAGACTACAGGGTTTTGTCGACAAAAGTGGACTTTTGTCGACAAAACTATACTTGCGTCCACACTGCCTTTGAGTTATGTCGACATAACGTCGACAAAACTCAGCAGTTTTGTCGACGTATGTAAACCTCATTCTATGAGGAATAACGCCTTTTGTCGACAGAGTTCTGTCAATAGAAGGCATTATTGCATCTACACTGTCCTTTGCGTCCACACTGTTATGTCGACAAAGCGGCTTGCTTTGTCGACAGAACTGGATGTAGTCTAGACGCTCTATGTCGACGTAAGTTTTGTCAACAGATTCTGTCGACAAAACTTATGTCGACATTAGCCTGTAGTCTAGACATACCCCAAAAGGCCACTTTAGTCGACAAAACCCTGTAGTCTAGACACACCCTGACTTGTAGCATCACGTTTTCCTCCTAATGCCATCAATCTTCCAATAGCTCTCCAGTGGGCACCACTTAAAAGGAGGGAGGAACCAATATGCCCTGTAGCAATGAGGAATACTTGGGATAATTTTGCTACCGCAGTGACGAACGGAGTAATTTCATTCTGGGGCTCCAGCGGTTGTCTCATGTGTGTCACTGGTGCGGCAAGACCAGAGGTGCCAGTCTCAAAACTGTCAGACCTAGAGGTGCCAGGACTCAGCTCTGACAAGCCCTGGCATACGTTTGGCCCTGAGAATAGGAATGGGTTATGTTCAGGACTTCAGAGGGAAAAATTTCAAAGTCCAGGTTCTGCTCATTAGCTTGCATTGAGTGCTGAGGTTTTACAGCCCACATTCATTGTACACAAACCATCCTGCGTGCAGGCTCGGACCAGCACAGTATTTTAATAGTCAAGCACACAACCCCGAATGAGATACCATCCCTCACTGCTGCAGAGAGAAAGAATTTTGTTTAGTTTTTACATTCTCCCCACTTGAACTCAATAGCGCCTTGTCTGCTGTTCCTATGTTTCAGAGCAGCTGACACCATTTTTGTAAGAGTGGGATGAATGTAGGACAAATCACGCCCTGCCAGGCATAGCCTGCAGAGCAAGAGTTTCAAGAATGGCTAGTGCCTTGAATTTTGGGGTGCTCAGCTTGAGAGGCTGTCATGACAGGGCAGCCCAGGAGTGCAGAATCAATTTCCCTTTCCTGTGAGCATCAGCAAACATGTAGCATCTAAACAGACCTGTAATGTTCCCTACAGAGATAAAGATCCCCATGTCTTGGAATGGGGACACTCCACACCCTTAGCCCATGGGTACCAAGCTATGGAAAGGGATGTGAAATACAATGGATCCCCACAACAGACACGTAAGTCTCCTACTGCCCTCGCTCAGTGTCAGCACCCCTGGACGGTATAAATGAAGTTGACTTGAAGTACGGTGGAATTAGCATAGACCAGCCCAGAGAAAGATCCAGGATAGAACATAACCCAGTGAAAAGTTGGCTGTTCAGCAATGTGGGTTACCCATTGCTTAATGCATATGATAGAGAAAATTCACACTTTCCGTGCAATTTTGAGTTCGGTTCAGTGTAGACTGTCACATAGGAGGTGCACACACCGTGCTTTCTCTCGCTATCGCTACGCTTGCTGTTACTTGCTCTGTTGTTACTTAACTTAAAATACTGGCCAGTGGAATAGAAATCACCTTTATCCTCCTTCTGCCTGGACACAAAGCAGGTGACAGTCAATAGAAGAACCCCAAAGAAAGTAGCAGGATGATGGGCAAACACCACCAGAAATCACACACAACACCCGTAGAACTGCATAATGAAATCAACACCGTTGGAAAAAAGAGGGAGCTAGATTTGTTGCACTCCCCCCCCCTTTCTCAGATCTCAGCAGGCACCTGCAGCCCGTGTTGGAATACAGACACATGTACAATAACAATAATGTAATAATCAATAAAACCACAATGGGCTATGTGAAACGACATGCTAAATGAAGTCACCTGCTTCCATTTCCCATCTCTCCACCAGTACTGAGTCAATCAGACTCAGGACTTTGTCAGGAGTTTGTTCATGGCTTTCCTCAGTGAATTCCTCAGGGCGTCCTTCACCTCCCTGTTCCTCAGGCTGTAGATGAGGGGATTCAATAAGGGGATCACCAGTGTGTAAAACACTGAAGATATTTTGTCCGTGTCCATGGAGTAGCTGGAGGTGGGTCGGAAATACATGAAGAGGAGGGCGCCATAAAACAATCCCACTGCAGCCAGGTGGGAAGCGCAGGTGGAGAAGGCTTTGAGCCGACCCTCGGCAGAGCGGATCCGCAGGATGGTGTAAATGATATAGACGTAGGAGAGGAGGGTGGTCACAACACTGATTGCTACAATGTAGAACATGGCAGCCAACTGCACAATGTCACTGATGCGGGTGTCAGAGCAGGAGAGGACCAGCAGTGGGGGAATATCACAGAAGAAATCATTGATGACATGAGAGCGGCAGAATGACAGCTGGAATGTCAGATACACCTGTATCACTGAATCCACGAACCCCACAACACACACCCCAGCTACCAGCAGGTTGCAACGCTGCCTGGACATGATGACCGTATAGAGCAGTGGGTTACGGATGGCCACATAACGGTCATACGCCATCACAGCCAGCAAGAAACACTCACAATCATTGAAAAAGATACAGAAAAATATCTGCACAGCACAGGCAGTGTAGGAAATGCTTTTCTTCTCAGATAAGAAATCCTGCAGCATCTTAGGGGCTACTACTGTGGAACAGCAGAGATCACAGAAAGACAAAGTCCAGAGGAAAAAGTACATGGGGGTGTGGAGTTGGGAATCAGTTGTGATTAACGCCATCATCCCCCCATTCCACACCACAGTGAAAACATATATAAGTAGAAACAACACAAACAGGGGGACCTGCAGCTCCGGATGATCAGTCAGTCCTGAGAGAATGAAATCAGTTGCCACCGAGTGATTTCCCTCTTCCATCTCCTCTGAGCCAAGATCAGGCAGCAGGTTGGCAGTTGGATGGCTCAGGGAACCTTTTCCTTTATTGTAATGAAAGAAGTGAAGAAAAAAGGAGGTCAGTTTCTTAATAGGAAGCAGGACGAGATCAGGGAAGGGCTCTGTCCACTTAGCAGATGTTCATTGCTGCTCATTCCACTTGATTGATCAATTTCACGCACTGCACCCATACAAGGACATGGTGGTTAATCATCACAGAAAGTCTTCGGTTTACTAAACCGAGCAGCAAACAGCAACTTGTGACTCTGCTGAGGGAGAATCATGGTAAAAATCATCTCCATGTGATAGGATTATTCCTTATCTCAAGAAGCGGTGAGAGTAAATGAGTGTCTGTCTTTCTACCCTCTTTGGGCAAGGGGAGATCTGGGGCTCTACATGTCGGTTTCGTGTGCTGTGCTAATGAATTTCTTGGGTATCTGATAATCACATTTATATTAGTCTGTATCAAACCTCCAAGACTTAGTGGAACACACCAGCTTCTCTGACTACATCATCGCCTATTTTTTTCACCCAAAAGTGTCCTTACTTAGCTCAGGAGGTAGGAGCCAGATCTCTTAGTGCTAGAGGATTTCAACTCAGTGCATGTCAATCACCATGGTGTCTGTACAGGTGTGTGACTCTGATGCAGGACTACAGCACGTACCTGCAGACAGCAGAGAGAGATGGGCTGGTGCGTCTCCGTCCACCAAAACTGACACTTTGGTGCAACTGGGAAGTTTTATACTGAGCTCTGTGATCTATGGGACAAGATCTTGGGAGCCAATGTGCTCAGAGAGACACAAAAACAAATTAATGAGCTCAGGGAATGTTAGCCATGGAGCTGATACCTTGGGGAATAATTTGGCACCTTGTTTTCTCCTATGTTAGTTAGTGATGCAATTTCTATCAGAGTTGCCTGAGGGATATTTCATTCTGCTCTTGTCACTGCAATCTGGGTCCTGTGTGGATCTAACCCAGAAAGTGTGTGTTTGTGGAGACCAACATCTTCCAGCTGAACATTTACCATTTCAGGTCAGAAACAAAACACACAGAGGTACCGCATCCCAACTTCTCTGCCATGCTATTTGCTTTAGCATGGCAAATATTTCCATGATAAACCAGTTGGAATGAAAATTCAATTCCCCCAAAAAAACACTTTTAAAGAAAATTGTCCAGCCAGGCTTACCCCAGCTGGGGATCCAAAGTAAGAAGACAAAACTCTGAGATAGGCATATTCCTGAATATCTGTAATACACAGGATAGTTGCCCAGAAAGCTCAGAGCTCCCAATTTCTCCATTCTAAGCTTAGACGAGACCTGCTCTATCGAGCTGAGCAGGTCCCCAAAACAGGGAAGAGCTTCTATCAGCTCCTGGTGCCTCAAGAGGCCAAAAGAGAAGTTCTACATATGCACATTGAACATCATCAGCTGGATGTCTTGGGCAGGAGAAAACATTCGCTCATATATTGGCTTGATTCTTCTGGCCAGGGACACATAAGGAGGCTGCTAACTTTTGCACATCCTTCAAGGATGTCCAGGAAGTGGCAACAAAAGGTTCACGGCAGGCTCTCCTGATACCCTTGTGGGTCCCCCTTTGAAAGAACAGGGGGTTGATATTGTGGGCCCCTTGGTAAAAGTGTCCATGCCCAGCAGCACATATGGGTCATTGTGGACTATGCCATGTGTTATCCAGAAGCAGTTCCTTTCTGCTCAGTAACTTGAGCAAACTGTAGGCACCAAACTGGTACAGCTTTCCTCTTGGTTTGGCCTACCTGCTGAAATCCTGATGAGCTAGGGGACAAATTTCAAATCATGATCGTTAACAGCGAGTTGGACATGTTGCAAGTTGAGGCCTCTCCGAACCGTCGTTGACCATTTCCAAAATGACGGCCTGGTGGAAAGGTGCAATCGAACCCTAAAGAGCTAATTGAGGAAATTTTTAAATACTGACCCTTGTAATTGGGACCAGCTACTTTACTACTTGATATTTGTGGTCCAGGATCTATGTAAGGCCTCAAGAGGGTTCTCTCTATGTGAGAAGCTACTTTCCTACTTGATGTTTGTGGTCCAGGATCTAATAAGGCCTCAAGAGGGTTCTCTCCGTGTTAGTTGTTATATGGCTGGTGGTTCGAGGGACACTAAATCTTTTCAGAGAAACATGGGATGAGCAAGCCTGTTGAATGCACAGATGCAAGAATGATGGAGAAACATCTGGGCCAGGCAGCCAGATTTGCCCAAGAAAATTTAGAAAAAGCTCACCAAACCCAGGCTCTCCATTACAGTAAGCTCACCTTTGAGATGGTGGCAAGTCATGAAAGACATAAACCCCCAGGTTACACAATGGTATCCGGCATTGCAGCCTTATGCCTTCAATATTGGGCATTGCCTGGCATTCCAAAATGGGAACACTGATTTTTTTCTCTCATGGAGGCGAAGTTTCTAATTTCAGGGACACACCCCAGCCACACTCTTCTTTGAGGGGGAAGGTGTGTGTTGGGGTGGATAGGCCCGAAGCCCCCTGCTAGACGTTTGTGGAGCTGCCATACCCTGCTTCAGGAAAAAGAGTGGAGAAGAGGTCCTCCAAGCAAGCTAGAGTGGCTGCTTCTGCTCCAGCCAATAAGGGCCCAACAAGCTGATGTGGAGAAGCTGCTGGGATACTGTCTGGCAGTTCCTCTCTGGAGCTCAAGCCAGGCAGACCTAGGGACTGAGTAGGAAGATAGTGATACTATGGTCAGCTCCAAGTGTGGGCTGCTTTGCAAACTCAGCTGTAGCCGTGGTCTGGCTGCTGAAGACCAGCCATGATGGGCTGTGGCAAATTGCAGAACCCTGGACAGGGTACAGTGAGGACTTCATCTCAAAGCCATGATAGGGCATGGCTACACAGCAGGGCTAAACTCAAAATAAGCTACGTAATTTGAGCTATGATAATCGTGTAGCTATATTAAGACGAAATAGCTTAATTTGACTTTTGGTGCTTTCTACACAGCACTTATTTTGAGAGAGAGCACTGTTCCCCCAACTTCCCTAACGCCTCGTACAATGAGGGTCATAGGAGTCATTGTAAGCAGTCCTCCAGCTTGACATTATTTCAACATTATGTCGAAATAGCTGCTTGTTGTGTAGACATAGCCAAACAGGTCAAGGACAATGCAGCTTCTTCCCAGGAGACTGAGAAGAAAGGACATCTGGGATACCTCCATTCTCAGAGCCAATCAGAGAGAAGTTTGTGGACACAGATCTGTGGCCACAAGAGGGAACTCGAGCGACACTTTAGAGACTCACAAAAATACACAGTTACACGACCTTACGTGAGCAAAACGCACTTCATCACATGATGGGTATGTCTAGACTACAGGCTTTTGTCGACAGAGGCTCACAGATGTCCATGTATTGGCCGTACAACATCACTGCCCAAAGGAGCCCCTGATTAGTCCCACAGAAATCCACAAAGCAGCATAACACACCACATAAGTCATGGCTTTCCTCTCTGTGATCAGCTCAGCTACAAATGTTGGGGGAGGGGAGGATGAATGTAGAATCCCAGAAATCTAAAAAATCCCAGTTCCCCAGGGGAAAACACAGCATGGGAATGTCAAACTGAGAATTCAGTCTGATTAGCATGAGCATGCCACGGTTCCTCAGCAGTTTAACAGCAAAGATCACTGGGAGCACCACAAAACGTCTTTTCCATCGGTAACTTCCCCGAGGTGTGTTTTACGCTTAAAAATTACATCAACCGAACTCTGATACATGGGGCTGACAAACTCTCCACACCCTGGGCGAGGCAATTAGGTTGCACGAACCCTCCGCAAAATTCTTCAATTGACCCAGCTACTGATTCAGAGATGTAGTTTAAGGATGTCCATAGAAACCCCCCTTCCATGAGTGTGGAAATTTCTCCTTGGGATGAGACCTTCCTTGCAGTCCCATGAAGGGCTCGCTGCCCTTTCTGTTAAAGGCTGACAGGGCCTGTTTGCCTACGACATGGTGATGTAGTAAGAGGAGGGCCTGCAGCCTAAGCTTGGGTTGAGGCCTGTGGCCTAGGGAACAGTAGTCAAGGCATTGACAATAAAAAAGTTGACCTGTGAGCAAGAGGAAGGGCCTGCTCACAGAATCTGGCAGGCACAGGGCAGATGTTGCAGAACCTCTCCTCAGAGGGACTAGGCACAAGCCGTAAATACGTTCCAGAGGGATCATACAAATACCCCCCTCACACACACATGCACGTAAGAGGAACACACCGACCCAGCTGCAGGATTACACCATGCTGGAGAGGAATGTACTGACGAAACCATCATGCACAAGGCAATGGTGGTGTCTACGTACACCAGGGGGTGGCACCCGGTTAGGTCAGGAGTGAAGTGTAGCTAGTTTGTATCAGTGTGTATAGATGTGTCTTTGAGAGGTTTTCCTTGCCCTCGTCCACCATGGGCTGAGCTGGTCCATTGGCAGGGGGCACTCATATACTAGCAGAACTGAAGGCATCAGACCAACGGTGCTGAAGATGGTGATTCTTAGTGTAGCCATAGCCTCAATCTCAAGACAAAACTTCTAGCTGACTCCAGGAGTACCCCAGTTGTTGTCCTTCAATCTCAGTAGATCTTCTCCATGTTGTCTGAGGTCTTCCTCTTTTGATTTTTACTTCGGCGTTCCATGGGAGAGCTTGACACACTAAGCTGGATGATGGTGTCTTGAGAGTGTGGCCTAGCCATCCCCACTTTCTTCTCTCGATTTGAATGTCAAGTGGCTCTTGTCCAGCTCTGTTCCAAGGGTTCATTTGTGACAAAGTCTTGCCATTTGATGTGAAGGATGTACCTCAGGCATCTCTTTATGTATGTCTGTGATTTGTGATTTAAAAACTCTTTAGTGCGCAGGGTCTTGCATCCATGCAAGAGCACACTCTTCACATTTGTGCTGAAGATTTGCAGTTTTGTATTCACAGACACTATTTGTGAGCTCCATATGGGATGAAGAGTCTTGAATTCAGCTGTTGCTTTCCCTATCCTAGCATTAATATCCATATCCGATCCTCCATCTCTGCCCACAATACTCCCCAAGTAGGAGAACTGCTCCATATCTTCCAGATCATCCCCTCTCAGCATGATGGTGGGATGTTGTTGGACTGGTTGGTCCTCATTGTCCTAGTCTTTCTCTCCTTATGGATCCCTGGCCAATAAATGTTTTCTCCTGGCCAAGACGTCTAGCTGATGGTTGTTGAAAGGCCCCCTCAGTCACCAGGAGCTGAAAGCAGCTCTTCCCTGTGTTTGGGTCCCACTCAGCTTGATAGAGCAGGTCTCATCTAACTTCAAAATGGAGAAATTGGGAGCCCTGAACTTTCTGGGCAAACGTCCTGCTGATTACAGATATTCAGGAATATGACTCTCTCAGGATATGTCTACACCACCCCGCTAGTTCGAACTAGTGGGGTAATGTAGGCATACCGCACTTGCAAATGAAGCCCGGGATTTGAATTTCCCGGGCTTCATTTGCATAAGCGGGGAGCTGCCATTTTTAAAACCCCACTGGTTCGAACCCTGTGCAGCGCGGCTACACGGGGCACGAACTAGGTAGTTCGAACTAGGCTTCCTAGTTCGACCTACCGTTACTCCTCGTGAAATATACCTATCTCAGAGTTTTGTCTTCCTTCTGTCCTTCCTTCCACCAGTCCTTACCCCAGACAGGATGGAAGTCAGGCAGATCATGAATGGAGATGGGGCTTTTTGCTCCTTTGGTTCCCCACCTGGGGCGAAGGCTGGCTGGACAACTTTCTTTAAAAGTGTTTTTGGGTGGAATAGAATTTTCTTTCCAATTCGTTTTTCATGGAAATATTTTCCTTCCTAAAGCAAATTCCCCTTCTGAGCCAATGATGGCTGTGGGACTCTAGCGATGTCTCAGGTCAGTTCTGCAGGAGAACAGACCGTCATGTGCCAGAGGGGGATGTAGCCCAGCAGACAAGGTGGGATGTGGTACCTGGGGCATCCTTGTGTATTTTGTTTCTGAGCTGAAATGGCAAATGTTCACCTGGAAGATGTGGGTCTCCACAAACACACCCTTTCTGGGTCAACTCTACATGGGACCCAGCTTCAAGTGAGAAGAGAAGAATGAAATATCCCTCAAGCATGGACTCTGCAACTCTAATAGAAATTGCATCACTAACTAATGTAGGAGAAAAGAAGGCAACAAATTATTCCCCAAGGTATCAGCTCCAGGGCTGACATTCCCTTAGCTCATTAATTTGTTGTTGTGTCTCTCTGAGCTCAGGAATTCCCACTGGCTCCTGGGATCTTGTCCCATAGATCACAGATCTCAGTATAAACCTTCTCATTGCACAAAAGTGTCAATTTTGGTGGAAGGAGATGCACCAGCACATCTCTCTCTGCTGTCAGCAGGTACGGGCTGTTGTCCTGCATCAGAGTCACACACCTGTACAGACACCATAGTGATGGGCAGGCATGGAATTATAGTCCTCCAGTACTAAAAGCCCCAGCTACTAGCACCTGAGCTAAAGGAAGGACAATTTTGGTTGGAAAAAATAGGTGATGATGTAGCCAGAGAAGCTGGTGTGTTCCTCTAAGTCTTGGGGGTTTGATACAGACTAATGTAAATGCCATTATCAGATGCCCGAGAGATTCATTAGCACAGCGCACCAAACCGACATGTAGAGCCGCAGAGCTCCCCTTGCCCAAAGAGGGTGGAAAGACCGACACTCACTTACTCTCACCCCTTCTTGAGATAAGGAATAATCCCATCACACGGAGATGATTTTTACCATGATTCTCCCTCAGCAGAGTAACAAGTTGCTGTTTGCTGCTCGGATTAGTGAACAGGAGAGTTTCTGTGATGATTAACCACCATGTCCTTATATTGGTGCAGTGTGTGAAATTGATGAACCACATGGAATGAGCAGCAATGAACATCTGGCTCTGTGGACTGACCCTTTCTCTGATCTTGTACTGCTACCTATTAAGAAACTGTCCTCCCTTTTTCTTCACTTACTTCATTACAACAAAGGGACAGGTTCCCTGAGACATCCAACTGCCCACAACCCTGCGGCTGCCTGATCTCAGCTCAGAGGAGATGGAAGAGGCAAATCGCTCCGTGGTGACTGAATTCATTCTCACAGGACTGACAGATCAACCAGAGCTTCAGGTCCCTCTGTTTGCATTGTTCCTACTGATTTATGTTATCACTGTGGTATGGAATGGGGGGATGGTCTTCTTAATCACAATTGACTCCCAACTCCACACCCCCATGTACTTTTTCCTCCGGAGTTTGTCTTTCTTTGATCTCTGCTATTCCTCAGCCATTGCCCCTAAGATGCTGCAGAATTTCTTATCTGACAAGAAAAGCATTTCCTACACTGCCTGTGCTGTGCAGATGTTTTTCTGTATCTTTCTTGCTGATAGTGAGAGTTTCTTGCTGGCTGTGATGGCGTACGACCGTTATGTGGCTATCCGTAAACCACTGCTCTATACAGTCACCATGTCCAGGCAGCGGTGTAGCCTGATGGTAGCTGGGATGTGTGTTGTGGGGTTCGTGGATTCAGTGATACACGTGTGTCTGACATTCCAGCTGTCATTCTGCCGCTCTCATGTCATCAATCATTTCTTCTGTGATATTCCCCCACTGCTGATGCTCTCCTGCTCTGACACCCGCATCATTGATATTTTGCAGTTGGCTTCCATGTTCTACGATGTTGCGATCAGTGTTGTGATCATTTTCCTCTCCTATGTCTGTATCATTTACACCATCCTGCAGACCCGCTCTGCCGGGGGTCGGCTCAAAGCCTTCTCCACCTGCGCTTCCCACTTGACTGCAGTGGGATTGTTTTATGGCTCCCTCCTCTTTATGTATTTCCGACCCACCTCCAGCTATTCCATGGACACAGACAAAAGAGCTTCAGTGTTTTACACACTGGTGATCCCCATGTTGAACCCCCTGATCTACAGCCTGAGGAACAGGGAGGTGAAGGACGCCCTGAGGAAAGCCATGAACAAACTCCTGTCCCAGTCCTGAGTCTGATTCTCTCAGTGCTGGTGGAGAGATGGGAAATGGAAGCAGGTGACTTCATTTAGCATGTCGTTTCACATAGCCCATTGTGGTTTTATTGATTATTACATTATTGTTATTGTACATGTGTCTGTATTCCAACACGGGCTGCAGGTGCCTGCTGAGATCTGGTCTGCTGCTGGCTACTGCCCTTGTGTGCACACAAATATAGATGTGATGTGCTTTGAAAGCTGGGAGCTGTTGGTATTGAGAAAGAAGGGGAGGGGCAAT